TTGTATATGATATTATTTCTTCTCTGGCTGCTTTTAAAAATCTGTCCTTATCCTTGATCTTTGCTATTTTAATTACTATATGTCTTGGTGTTGTCCTCCTTGGGTCCCTTGTGTTGGGAGATCTGTGGGTCTCCATGGCCTGGACTATCTCCTTCCCCAGATTGGGGAAGTTTTCAGCAATTACCTCCTCAAAGACACTTTCTATCCCTATCTCTCTTCCTCTTCTTGCACTCCTATAATGTGAATATTGTTGTTTGGATTGGTCACACAGTTCTCTCAATATTCTTTCATTCTTAGAGATCTTTTTTTCTCTCTGTGCCTCAACTTCTTTGTATTCCTCTTCTCTACTTTCTATTTCATTGTCCTCCACCATATCCAATCTGCTTGTAATACCCTCCATTGTGCTCTTCCACAATTGGATCTCTGACCGGAATTCATTCCTGAGTTCTTGAATCTTTCTGTACCTCCATTAGCATCTTAATGATTTTTATTTTGAACTCCCTTTCAGGAACTGTCATGAGGTCCATGTCATCTTTCTCAGGGGTTATATTAATTTTACTCTGAACCAGGTTCCTTTGGCGTATGGTGCCCTCTAGTGTCCAGAACCTCTCTCTGTGGAGCTGCTCAGCCCCTGAAGCAATGTCGGGGGTGGCAGGGGAGTGGTATTGGTGCCTGGGGGGAGGAAAGAGCTGATTACTGCTTCCCAGCTGCTATGCCTGTCTCCACTGCCTGAACCAGTGGCCAAGCACACAGATATAAGCTTTTGTCCCAGAGAAGTGTATATGGATCCCTGCTTTCCACAAGTAGCTGGAATCTCCATCTCTCCAGGACTTCTGCCTGTCTTAGCTTTCCAGCCCTGTAACCAAAAGAGTATCATGAAAGCACCATGAAATGTAGGTTTGTGCTCCCAGAACAGATTTCCAGGGTTAGGTATTCAGCAGTCCCAGGCCTCCACTCCCTTCCTGCTCTCTTTCTCTTCCTCCTGTCAGTGAATTGGGGTGGGGGAAGGGCTTGGGTCCCACCCGGCCACAGCTTTGGTACGTTACCCTGTTCCGTGAGGTCTGCTCCTTTCTCCAGGTTTATGCAGTCTGACACCATCCTCTTTCCTGTTGCTCTCTCAGGATTAGTGGTATTAATTATATTTTCATATTACATGCAGTTTTAGGAGGAAGCCTCTGTCTCACCTCTCACGCCACCATCTTTATTCTGGCCTCTTTGTTTTTATATTCCACAAATAAGTGAAATGATATGATATCTGTCTTTCTCTGCCTGGCTTATTTCACTGAGCATAATGCCCTTTAGATCCATCCATGTTGTTGCAAATGGAAGGATTTGTTCTTTTTATGGCTGAATAATATTCCATTGTGTAAATGTACATCTTCTTTATCCATTCATCTATTGCTGGACACTCATGTTGCTTCCGTATCTTGGCTACTGCATACAGTGCAGCCATAAACATAGGGGTGCATATATCTTTTTGGATCAGGGATTTTGTTTTCTTCAGGTAAACTGCATATATTTTTTTACTTTCCCCTTCAACTTCTCTTTATCCTTGTATTTTAGTTATGTCTGTGTCAGTAGAATATATAGTTGGATTTTTTTAATGGTATCTAATCATCTGTTTTTTAAACAAAAGAAATGTTGCCATTTAAATTTACAAAGTATAATTTACAACAAAAAGTACATTATCTAGGATTCAAAAGATTTGGATTCCAGGATCTTCCCTATCATTGTGTGATCTTGAATAACTCTCTGAAACTCTGTGAATCTCAGAAGAGTCATGATAAAATGCAAGCGTTGAATTAGATTATCCCTTCTAGCTCATTTACCTGTCATTCCAGTAAATTACAGTAACATGTTACAAACTGTTTTGAGACAGGAAGTCTTAAAACCAAACCTAAAATTAAAAACAAAATCCTAGTGTAATATGGTAAAATAATTCAAATAGTAACTGATGTTTAGCTTTGGGATATTTGCTCTCTGTCACTGAAAACTTTTATCTTCCATTATTTAATACATAATATTTTTGCAGTTTAATTTCTTTTCTGAGGATAATCCATATTTTTCAAAAATGTATTTCCTGATTTGGGGGATGTATTTACATATATTTTGTTGTGATTCTAAAGATCATCATCTTGCCAGTGGGTTTCAGCCCTGGGCAAGTTGACTATGGATTCAATGTGACCAAAGAAATGACAGTAGAACATTCTTGGGGTGAAAAGGTTATAACCAACTTTATAATCACTGAAAACCCACCCACTCAGAGCAAGTCTGCATGCAGCAAGCTGGTCTCTGCCTCTGGGCCCCTCTCTACCTGAGAGGCCATCTTAGTCTCTGTCCTAGGCACTGTCACCACTCCAGCCTCTGTTCTGTTCTCCTGCAGGCTTGCAGCCATGCCACCGTGGGTGGCACTGGGCAGAGCTCTTTATATAGAGTCAATAACAGTGCATTGCCCACACATGTGTAGTGAACTAGCTGACCAGGGCCAGGTGAAAATCCTGGCCACAGGAACCTTCACTTTATCCACAATCATATTCTTTAATAATCCAAAAAAGCTTTTCAAGGTTGTATTATTAATTTCCTGCCTCCTTTTCTTTTAGCTTATATTTTAATTTCTACAAAATCTTTTCTAGAGTTGTGAACACCACAATATTTACCACTTTTTCACAAGATTAGTTAAAAAATCACAGCACTATTATCTGAATTCTAAGACCTTGGAAATAAATCTACAGATCTTTCCACTGAAGAGCAGTAATAACTGCATGGAGTGTTTGTAGTCAATGGTGTTAAACTGTTTTATTTGGAGCTCAGTTTTCCATGATTGGCTACAGTGACACCACCTGTAGGATTAGGCCTTTAGGAAGGAAGAAGTCACACTGTGTGGATATAGTAAAAGTTCCTGAGGCCAGGATTCTCACCTGGCCCTGGTCGGCCAGCTCACTATACACCTGTGGGCAATATGTCTAGTGCTCTGTGTGACACGGTGGCACAGCTGCAAGGCTGCAGGAGAGCAGAGCAGAGGCTGGAATGGTGGCAGTACCTAGGACAGAAACTGAGACAGCGTGCGGTAAAGAAACCCAGAGGCAGAGACTGGCTTGCTGCAGGCAGACTCGCTCTAAGTGAATGGGTTTCCAGTGATTGACCTGCCACCATGGAAATAAAGTTGGGTATAATCCTTTCACCCCAAGAACGTTCTACCGTCATTTCTTTGGTCACATTGAATACATACTCAACTTCCCCTGGGCTAAAATCCATTGGCAAGACACACTGTTTCTCTGGTTTTTCTCTCCTTTTATTTGGTACCTCTGTGTTGATGTGAACTAAGTCACTTCTGAAATCCATGACTAGTCTCTGGGCTTCTTCAATTACCCAGAGAACTGCAGCAACCTGGGCGGTAGTACCAGGACCAATCTTTGTCATTCAGTTGACAATACTCTTGATCAGGAGGCTGCTTTCTTAAGCACCAGTCATATCTTCTGGAAACTATAACCCTACAGTTACCTTGATTTGACTTGGTTATTTCTTAAGTCATCCCAAGAGCACATTTACAGACTGATGATCGGTCAATTCTCCAGATGAATCATCCATCTTTTATTGGGCCATTTTCCTATGTAGATGCAAAATATGTGGGTGGGAGGTGGGATGTTAGAACCTAAATTGAATCCTTTTAACTTTACTCTCATGGTGGGGACATCATCAGATATGAGTGCAGTTATAACTGTTCTTTAAAGTATCTCAAGTTATATAGGTAACATACCAATATTATCTTTGTTTTAAAATAAAGGCTAAAAATACACTTAAAGTTCCCTTTCACCATCCCCCTTATCGCTGCCCTATCTAGGGATAACCAGTATGGTTTTGAGGACACCTATTGTTTTGAGGGCCCTTTCTACACACTGTTCTCTTCTACTATGTATACATATATGCACTTTTTTACATAAATGACACTTTCTGGTTTTATAGGTCTGGAAACTGAGACCTTGAGAGAAGACATGTGTTGACAAATTGCAGGCAAGCAGACTGAATAACCGTTTATTAAAACCTACTTTATGCCAGACTATGCCCAGTTCTTCATTGGCGCGAAGGGGTCTGGTATTTTACTTCTGTTGGATGAGTTGCCGCACTAGGTTAGCTAAGGAATTAGTTTGGAGGTTGGGGACAGGTGCAAAAGTCGCCTCAATGCGATTATGTAGGGTTTGTATTTTGACGAGAGCTGCAGGCAACCTAGCAGAGGGCTACGGAACTGCAAAAACAGAAAAAGGTGTCATCGGCAGTTGGGTCTGAAAGGGTATCTCGCCGCTACCCTCCTTACCCAGAACGACTCAGGAGACACGGGCCCACGCAAGAGGCTTTATTATCTGAAGGAGAGTGGCTGCCCCAGACGGGGGTGGGGAGAGAGAGAGAGAGAGAGAGAGAAAGAGAGAGAGAGAGAGCGAGCGAGCGCGAGCGAGCGCGAGCGAGGGAGAGCAGGGGGACAGAGACAGAGAGACAGAGAGAGACAGAGAGAGGGCAGCAGCGTGGTGCCTTTTATTGTGGCGGATCCGCTCGGCCTGTTGCTTTGGGGGAGGGTCGGGATGTTTAGAGATAAGGCGGGGTAAACCCAGGCAAGCCCCAGGCAAGCCCAGGCATAATTCTCACCGGCTTATGTGTTTGGGACCATGGGGCAAATGGAGGATAAATTACTATTTTCTTACAGGGTCTATCAATAAAGTTTGTGAAGCTGGAACGCCTACTACCTTCCGAGCCCCGAGCCCGAAGCTTCCTTCGGAAACCAGGAACCGATACCAGGTCTATGAGAGGGGCCTTGGAGCTTGGGAGAAGAAGGCACCTCAGCTTTGCAAAGAAGGATGCGGCAAGCACGCAGCAACGGAGAAGCCAACCCGGAAAGCAGAGCGCGCGCCCCGACCGGTCTGGAAGTGCGCCTGCGCCGGCCACCTCCGGGGGCGGGAGGGAGGGGCGGAGCTTGGGGGCGGTCAATACGCCTGCGCAAACCGCGCGCGAGGTGGGGGAGGGCGGTCTGTGTGTGTCTGTGTTGTTGTTCCGCGGCGGCGGCAGCGGCGGCGGCGGCAAGATGGCTGCCCACGGGGGCTCCGCGGCGTCCTCGGCACTGAAAGGGTTAATTCAGCAGTTCACCGCCATCACCGGTAAGAGACGCGGTTACCGGAAGGTGGAGAGTGGGGTCTGGAGCGGGCAGCCGGTCAGCCCCAGGCTTCGCCTCACCTTCATGCATTCCTCCCTCGGGCTTTCCCCACAGCTCCCGTCCTCCCTCCTGAGGAGAGGCGACGACGGCGTCGGGTCTCCGGGTTCAGGCGGGAGTCAGCCCCCCCGCGCACCCCATGTCCTCGTCCTCGGTCTCCTCGCAGTGTGGCGGGAGACTCCCCCAGTCCTCGTCAGTCCAGACCCCGAGAACGAGCCGAGCCCATCCGCCCCCGCCGGCCCAGGGACCTGGGGGCGGGAGAGGTGGGGGGCCGCACCCGGGCCACCGCCCTCCTCCTCCTCCTTCATCCTCTCTTCTCTGTGCAGCGTCGGGGTGCAGTGCATCCCCTCGCCCCTTTTTCCTTTCTTCCTGGGCCGGGCCATTGCCCCCCTGTCCCTGCCCTGCCCTTCCCCTTTCTGGGCCCCTCGGAGCCTCCTCCGTGGCCCTGGTGTGCTCGGGCCCTCCCGCCTCAACGGCGAGGATGGTGGGCTCGCCAGCTTCTTTACCGATCCCGGGAGGTAGGCTGTCTGACAGGCGGGTGCTGATGAGTACCCTCAAGACTGAGGCTTTCTGAGAAGAATGGGGGGAACCCCCCTCAGCCTGAATAAAGAAGGCCTGAAAGAATGCTTGGTAGCGTTACCCACCTCCCCATAATAAAATCATAGAGACTGAGGCGATGGCGCCGGAGCCTCCTGCTGATAAAACAGGGATGGCGGCAGAAACTTCTTCGAGAGAAAGTCAGTTTCTGGGTGTCATTATCCCCCAAACCCTCGGTTTTTCTTTTCCTTTAGACCCCTGCAAAGGGCACATGGAGATCCTCTTACTACCTGGAGGAAAGGCCCTAAGCCATTCTATGAATTCTGTGTGTCTTGTTTCTCTCTGATGGTGCTGAACTTTTTTTGCATGAGTTATTAGAGGGCGGAGCAAATGATGAAGTTCTCTGTGGAGTGATTTGAGAGAAGAGTACTCCATGTGCCTGAGTGTAATTTTGCCGTTCTAGATTGTCATTTTGGAAGGAGGTCAGAATGTTAGTTCCCTCCTTTAGCAGATCTACACTTTATCTGGTAATTTGTTAAATTCAGAAGGTCGTTTCCACTGTTAATGTATCTATAAAGTATGATGTGCAAGATCTGGTTAAGTAAAATTTTATATTGTTTTAACCACTACGGTTGTATGCAAGTTACCGTTTTATAATTAAAGCTAGTTTTATTTTATCTTTTGCTCTGCAATGATAACTAGATGTTTGATGCATTACCTAGCTTGTGGCCATGAAACAGTCATGTCCAAGTTGGTAAATTTGTAATAAAAAATTGAGATGAGGAATGTAATAACTTCTCTTAATATTTTTAAACGTTTGGCATTGGATTATTATGTTAACAATGTAATGCATTTCCCAATGTCTAAACATCATTGTTACTGGGGAAATTTAGAAAATTGTGTAAATAAGTTAATCTTGCTGCATTGTGTTTATATAGAAGAATTATTTGCAATGAGTCAGATATAGAAATGATTATTATTAATATTTTCTTTAGATTTCCTAGAGGTGGTTTAAGAACCCACCTATTTAATTACAGTTTTTTATGCTGCCACCACCTCCTCAGGAACTAAGATTGTTTAACCCCACGTTTTTTCTTCTGATGGAACATTTTTGTTGGATACGAACAAAACCCAAAGTGTGGTGAGATGAAGTAACCCTCTTAATTGCTTTAATTTTGTTTCTGTCTGCTAGTCTACATGCTTGTTTCCTGGTCATAGGCCTTTATGTTCCTGAATCAAGTTGGAGACCCTCAGTAGATGATAGTATTTGGAAGTCTACAAAAGGGAAAATACCTTAGATTGTTCTTAAAGTATTAAAAATTTCTATTAATTTTTGGGATTCTTTTTTTTTTTTTTTTTACAAGATAGTGATTAGCTATCAGAAACATATTGACACCTTTAGTCTTTCCTGTATCTTAAAAAGAAGTTTGGGGGTTCTGTCCACATATATTTTAAGTTGTAGTATATACAATTAAAAGGTATTTGATATTTATTAATTGCTGGATAAATTAAACTTACATTGAGAACTTATGCCCTGATTGAAGAAGGTTTTACTTATCTGGAACCACAGCATTTTTGGTTAAAGCAGTGCATTTTCAAATATGTTAGTGGTGCCTTTACTGTGGCATTTAGAAATGGACTGGAAAATTGAAGAATTTTAACTACTATTTCTCACTGAATGGAACAAATCTCTCTATGATATGGGAGTATGAAGTAATAACTGATTTTTTAATAATTGAAAGGATAACATGAAGTAATTTTGAAAAAGAAGAACAAATCCATGCTTACAACAGCAATATAATTTTACATATTCCAAATCTTGTTTACATACTTATTTTCTTATTTTTACTTTGTGGTCATGGTATACATAGTTTAGAATTCTGAAATTTTCAGTCAACAATATATCATAAACATTTTTTTCCATGATCAAACCCTTTGACAAGCAAGTAGTCAAGGGAGATAATGGTCTTGAAATAATCACATTGAGAAGTTATGTATCTTTACCATTACTGGTGTTAGGTCATTTGAAGCTACATAGAAAACCAGTCCTGTTATTTTATAGTCTACCACATTTTGCAGTATTACTCAGTTTGATCTCCCTTGATACTCATCGTACATGGCTTTGAATGATGGCTGACTGCTTTCACAGTCATATCAATTCTCTAAATGTGAGGTAAGAATGTACTGCTAGACTTGAAGGTAATTCCAAAAGAACAGTTTTTAAAAATATTTTGAACCATGGCAATATTCCATTAACACCAGCTTAGACTAACATCCAACCCAAAACATAATGCATAGATGTAATCATAATAATTCATGAGCTGAGGGATCCATAGATGCTCTAAAATAGGTAAAAATAAACAGACAATCCAATGATTCTGTAATGTCTACTATGTTGACAGATAGTAACCGCACTAGAGGGGATGAGGGTTTAATAATATGGATAACTTGAACCACTGTGTTGTATATTTGAAACAATGTAGGATTTCTATATTATGATGCTGTGATAAAAAATAAATAAAAAACAGACATCAGAAGGTAAGAACAAAATGTGAGGGAATAGAAAGTAGAAGCTGCTGAGAGTACAAGAGTTTGCTAGTACAACATTCCATAAAGCTTTATGCATTTCAGATATTCACATACTTAATGAAATTATAGAATCTCAATTATAGAAGAGACTTTAATCTTTCTGTAAAGTTGTTGAATGAGTGCATATTTGTTATAGAAATTAGAAAGTGCTGTGTATTGCAACTTCCACTCATTCTTTTCTACAGTACATTTCTTTTGGGTTAGAGAAGACTTAAACACATTTTAATACTATCAGGAAAGGTGGTCACAGGTATTCCAGATATCAAAAGAAAACCCTTTGAGTTTTAGGAACTATTCCAAAAAGTGATAATGATATTTAAGCAGAAATTTAGGGGCCTAATAATTTTTTTTTGAGTTCTGAGTGGAATCCTATGAATTCTCTCTCTTTATCGATTGATCAAGTAAGTACCAAGCATGATTCAGATCTTGGGGATATACTGTGAACAAGACCTTGTGTCATTAAAAAACTTAAAGGTTAACTGAAACACAGACACATTAGGTACTATAATACAGTGAGAGAATGGTAGCCAGCTATTTTGGGAGCACAAAACGGGGAGATCAAGAAAGGCTTCTCAGAAGAAATAATTTCTTAGCTAAAATCAGAGAGATGTTTCTGGCAGGAGGAACATATGCAGAGGCCTGAAGGAGAAAGGGGCAGGTAATACATACAGAGTTAAGAGAGACAATACATTTAGGCTATTGATAATTCCAAATTAGTAGAGCATGTTAGTGTGAGATTCAGTAAATGGAGCTGAGGAGAGAAGTGGAAGGGCTTGTGACCAATATTAAGAAATCTTGGCTTTATTGTTAGTATAGTGGGAAGTCAATGAAAAGTTTTAGATTAGGGGATTGACATAATCAGATTTGGGTAAAAGGGAGAAAAGGTAGGTATAAAGATTGGTAGAAGACCATCGCATTAACCAAAGAAAAGCACTGGTGTCCTGAAGTAAGTTAGTGGCAGAGATGGAGACTCTGAGAGACACAGAGAGAAGTCACAAAGTCAGAATGAAGCTTAGGATTCTATTTTGGACATCTAGATATATAATCATGTTATTTTGTGAAGGTATGGGATACTAGAAGAGGTTTGGGGAGAAGGTGATCAGTTCAATTTTAGATAAGTTGCTGTGTGTGGGACTTTGAAGTGGGGCTGTTCAATAAGCAAATGAATATTTGGGTCTGGCAAGAAGAGTGACAACTGAGGAGTCATACTGATGGCAGTTGAAGCTGTTAAAGTGTATGGCATCTTGCAGAGGATAATGTAGAGTGAGAAAATAGTAGGCTCCAGGACACAGAGCTGAAGGAACACTAACGTCTGGCAGATTGCAGAGAAGACTCAGGAGAAACTAATACGTAGGAAGGAGGAAAACCAGGAGAGTGTAATGGTACTTCCAAAATCAGGAGTACTGTAATACCTCAGATATTATGTGGGCACTTCAGGAAACCAGAAATTATTGAATATTTATAGATCATCTTGTTTAGGGCTGGAAGATACTTTAGAAACCATCTTGACCCATTTATGAGTTCAATGAGAATTTGAAGGCTCAGAGAAGTAAAGTGACTTAGAGTTGTCTAGGTCAGTGCTTCACAAACTTACTTGAAGGAAGGGACCTTCTAAAAAAAATTTCCAGTCTTCATGGACTAGTACTTTCATTAAATAAAAGTTAATTGCTTGAAAAATAAAATAAAGATGAGAACATACTCAAAATATAAACTCAAATTCTTTTAAACACCTAAGTATAATTTGCAAACAGAAAACTCTACGCTTTTTAGTGTAGTAGTAAAGAGTTTGAATAGTGTACAACTGTGTAACCACAGCAAGAT